TTGTGAGGAAATCAGGAAAGTTTGAAAACTGACTAGACATTGGATAATATTTAAAGAATTGCTCATTTTGTCATTTATAGTGATACTGTGTTTTGTTCTTATACGTTGTTGTATTTTAGAACTCTATAGTATAGAATAGTACAGTAGATGAATGAAGCAACTGATATCTGAAATTTGCTTCACAATAAGTCAGTGCAGACAGGAAGTAAAGAAGGAATATAGAGGAAACAAGATTGGTCTTACAATAATACTTGTAATGATTGAAGCTGGGTGTCTCTTTGAATGCAGCTGAAAAATTCTATGATACATTTTTTTAACTGGACTTGCCAAGAAATGTAGTATTTGAGGAAAGCAATAGCAAAGACCAAAGAAAAAAGAGCAACTATCAGTTGTGCTGTAGAAACTGAGCATTCATCTGTCAGTTTCCGCAGAACCTTTCTATGCATTGGGCTGGCACTCTCTCCTGTAAAGCACTCCTCCCCATAATTTGTGTTTGGCGGTATTCCAAATGGAGCTTTGTAGCACATTTTCAGCTATTCCATTTCTAATTTTTTTATAAGATCTAAGCCTCATTAGTCCATTAGACACATTTGTTCTATCCTTTCCAGTCATATATATTTTTAACACATCAAGGCATTTGGGGGCAATCTTTGAGAGCTCCTCTTTCTGCTCAGAAACTGACACTTCTCCTATAGCCAAATTCATTCAGTGATAGCATAGACCTAAAAACTGTTTTAATCACCTCACAAAGGTTTGGGCTTAGGTATGAGATCTTGTTTCTCATGAAAGTAAAAACAGTATAAAAATATTTGGTAACGTGCTTACACCACTGTCATATTGAGCCCAACATCTAGAGCACAGCATCTTAAAGAGTTAAGAAAAAAATTACATAGACCACCCTTACCCCTAATCATCACCTGTAGCATCCAATATCTGCACAAACAGGGTCTAAATGGATTTCACAATGAAGCCTTATACTTAAATTGTGATTTTTAAAAATTTACTAATTAAGAAATCTCTTGTCTTAAGAACACCCACTTTGGGGTACAAAGTCACCTGATGCACAACTGCTAAAAGGTTTCTTATGTACAAATACCCTTGAGAAAAGTACACCATGAGTTGAAAGTATTCAACATATACTCTGACAATAACTCTTGATTATGGCATAGAGACAAAGAACCTGAAAGTAGAAATGATTAAGACAGTGGAAAAGAAAGTATCTGAGGTGGAAAAGACAGAAAAAGTCACAGAAAGAGAAGTGGGTGGTGATAAAGACATATGTGCCAATGTCATTTCTCTATGGGCAATAAAAATCAAAGCTATTATTGTTCTTTTTTTTTTTTTGAGTAATCAGGGAAAAAGAGCTAGAGTTATTTCATGATAGTTACATTTCCACCTGTTTTCCTATAAAAAACACCTCCTCTTTTTGAAGACTTTAACATCAATGCTTGGTAAGTTATTCACAGTGGCCAGAACCACATATCCTTTACAATATAAGTTCATGCAACTGAATTCTAACTGAGAAGTCATTTTTGACCTACTTTTCTCCAACATCCTATCTCAACAGCCTTGGTGATATATACTTTACACAAAATAATCTAGAGTCTTTTGTGAAAACAAACATTTAAATTTAAGAAAATGAAGAGAGGAGGCAAAGGAAGAAAAGAAAATTTAAAATGCACCTACATGCAGCAATTTGTTGAAAAGGTGATAAATTGGTGTCTTTCTCTAAAGCTCACAAAAATCTGAAGAGCACAGAGTATATGTTTTTGAAGTAAGCATCTGATGAATTCAGCTCCCTATTTGTGGAGATGTTATCATGGCTTATTTGAGGCAAATGCCTTTAAATCTGAGTGCTTTCAGACATTTGTCTGAAGTAACTCACTTATGAGTAGGCTTAAGGAAATGTGCATAATTCTCTCTAACCAAGAACAATCTTCCCACTCTCTCGGGCATTGGAAAATGGCTCTGAATAAGAGGTTCATTTATTTCTATGCACAGTGATTTTGTTCCTAAGTGGTGTGGATGGTTATTGAATATCTGGTTCAGGATTGGGACTTCTCTTTTCCAAATTACTTAGTTCCCATTTCATTTAGTGGTGAATCAAGTAGGCATTGTCTGCTGTTTATGATACTGCCTTTGATGAAATACTTAAAGAGAAAAGAGAAGTAATTATTTAGCTAGTTGGGTGGGAAAGGAGAAAAGCTATCTTCTTATAGTTTTAAAATTAAAATAAAGAACATATCTAAAATATTTTGTGAAGCAATCTTATGACACATTTATTTTTTTTTCCTGTGTGTCTATATCTGTTACATTTTATTGATTGCAGATATTGTACAACCAATAACATACTGTGTTGTGGTATGTGAGTGATATGGGCAAACACATTTCCTACCTACATCTTGAGCATATACCAACACCTGTTGACTTTTTAGTTATTCATAACGCTACATTAACAAAAAATTCAAAATAATCAGATATTGGCCATCACTGTAGGTCTATATGAAGATTAAATAAGGCAAGAGTTAATAATTTTAAAAAAAAAAAACAGTTAATAACTGACAGAGGGATTTTGGTATCCCAGCTGCCCTTAAAAAACTGAAAGACAGATAAGCAAATGGAGTTTCTCTATGACTGTCAATCACTGTATGCAATATATTAACTTCTCTTTCATTATTTTTGTACTGTGATATGGATCCAGGCAGTGACTTTGCATTATCCCCAGGTTACTAGAAGATCCTGGTTGCTTCAAGTTAGTTCCTTAGATCTAAGCAATTAGATTCTTCTAATATAGCTCTTCTAATATAAATTCTAAATATAATAACATAGATATACGTATAGATATTGAGTTCCTATGCAATGAGCATCTTGCATACAGTCAACTCCCTGCTTTAAAGTACCTCCCATGGTTTCAGCCCATTAACCCAAGCACAACAGCTTGATGAATTAATGCTTATATAGGCACAGTTGGCAGCTTCTAATTAAATAATTATGGTTAAGCAGCTGCATGGAAGCTGTTATGCACCCTAGAAAGCCAGCTGTCAGTTTTATTGGCCCTAAGACAGAGGAAGAGTTAATACTTAGCTCAGAATGTTAGGTACAAAGAGGAAGTATATCATATGCATTATATATATGCTGTGCAATATGAGGTTCCTGTGTGTTTGTGTTGCCTTTCTGTGGAGTGATGGAAGCACACTGCTCCTCAGCAACTCTAGCATTCCAACAAAGAAGGAAGCAACTCTATGTTCAGGAGAATAGAGCCTGTCCAGAGCAATCTAAAGAGAACACAGTGTTAGATGGATGAAGCTTTGATAACCACAGAAATGCCATTGAGCTCGTAAGCAATTATATTAAATTCTGAGTCTCATTTAGATGAGTAAGTGTTTAGAAAAATCTACTGTGGTCTTTGTTGGAGAATATGACTGGTATGATTTCATTTATTTGATTAAAGCTTCTTAAGATGCTTTTTTCAAATAGTAGAAATTTGAAAAAAAAAAAAAAGGAAAATATCACAAAATCTACATTTGAAATCTTTCTAAGACATCTTTTTCAATACATTTGGAGAATATATTTCTTCTACAGAGTCACAGGTAATGTCATATTCCTTTATGGAAAACTAAAAGGCTTAGAGTCTTACTTATCTCTACACTGGTGGGAATTCACCAACCGAAAGGAAGCAATGTCTGGCAACCAAGCTCTAGCACAGAGAAAGATACAAATCATAGATAAAGGCCAGAGATAACATTATCATACCAAATAATGCATGTTACTGCATACCAATATACTCCTGAACTAACAGCTGATTTCACTTTTCTCCATGGGTGGCTTTTCCCATGCAATCCAAGTGTTTCACTTCTGAAAACCAAATGTGTGATAATCCACTTATTAAATTCATTTGTACCTTTATCTTTAAAGAAATTTAGACATTTTAGGCCTCCAAATTTGGGGATTTGCTCTAAAATAAAAACAGAAGAGATCCAAATGTTAACTATTTTTATGGAATTCATTAACCCAACTCCCAGGCCAGGCCTGGGAAAACTCAGCAGTTAAATCAAGGATTAAACTTTACATGCTAATTTATTGTTCTCCCTTCAGAGATCAGTAGCTTATAGCTTATTTAGAATATTTCATGAAACAGGGCAATCTGTACATAAGCTGTTATTTAAGCAGATGGATTGACCTCTAAAAAACCCTTACTTTGAAAGCTTCGGTATAATTTTTGTCTTATCTCTTTCTCCTCTGGTTTCCTCTTATGTCAGTAATTCTATCACCGAAGCTATCTGAAGATGTTTTCGTGTGACTGACAGTTCTCAAGGATCTAGTTCCTTTAAGATATATCTTAAATGAAGTTCAGCTTAATTAAGTCTGCAGTGCAACTCAAGTCTTGGTACAAAATGCTAAAGAATCAAACAACAGATTTATTAAGCCCATAAAAGTAAATTTCAGACAGGAAAGGGGGCAGGGTAGAGAGGGGGCCTTTCATCAGTCTATACTGCCATCTAGCCAAGACCACGTCATTCCATGCAGCATCCATTTGTGTTTTCAAAGCCCCTGATGAAAACAAGTCTTCAGCAACCAACTTAATAGACCCCAAAGTTCAGATGAAAGAACAGACAGAGCATTTCATCTATGCTGAGTCTACCAGCCTCCGATAGGCCAACATCTAAGTTCAATCATCAACCAGCTCTTCACAATGTAATATCCAGCAAGCAGACGTACACGTCTGTTTTCATCCCACATATTACCTATACCAGCATCGGTTGCATCTTGTGATTTTTGAGTTGATTAAATAGTCTTTGACCTCATTCAAAAAATAGATAACAATTGCCTTAGGTAAGACATGAGAGCTGAATTATAGCCTCTAACGCTCTAGCTATAACTTGAGGGTGAAAAAAAATCTCAAAATAGTATTCCTTAGACATTAACTGAGCATGCAGACCACAGACATCTGTTAAGAGAATCAATACATAGGAAAAGTAAAAAGAACCCTTTTTACTTACGGTAGAAGACATATTCAGTGTAGCTTGACCAGATCTTGTCATCTGTATATTGGTTGACGAAAGATGCTGTCACTGAGGAGTTACAGGCCACCATGTGGAATCCACACTCTGACAACATATCAAAAGCCCTTTCCAGATGCTTAAATTTGAGATAAAATCGGGAGGTGTATCTTTCAGGGGCTCGATCAGGGTCTCTACTCTCATTCAAAGTATCGCCAAAGACTTCTTTTGCCAAGGAAATCCTTCCACAAACCAAAATCCGGGGAACTCTCCGAAATTTGGCATCTGCCTGCCCTTCTCTGCCCATGGTGCAGGACCCCCGATAACCAACAGTAATGAAACCCCACTTGCGGTCTGCAGGGAGCAGTGAGGAAGGGGGGCAGATTCTTGTGTCGCTTCCTTGGGAGGCATCTTCAAAGTCACTGTGGCAGAATTCTTCTGGGCTTTGTTTGATTTCATCGGGGGTCAGGAGTTTGACCAAGTCTGGGAGCTGGAAGTACTCAGCTTCCCTTTTCAGCCTTCCCCTTTCTGGAAAGTGATCAGGCAGGACCACCTGCCTGTCCCTGAGGTAGTCCAGAATATAACGGAACAAGAATCCATCTCTGTCAATGAAAAACCTTCCTTTGGAGTCCTTGGCTATATCGTTAGCAGTGTCTCTTTTTGGGGAGAACATTTTCCACAGGAGGGAATGAGGGATGCTTATTAATGTGGAATGGCGAGTGAAATAAACTTGACCCCCGACATTCAGCTCCACAACCTCGGGGAAGGAGTTGGGAACGGCGGCCCCTTGTTCTCGAGGATAATAACGACTACAATTTCCACTCAGAGCCATTGTCCCTTTCTTCTTCTTCTCCTATTTTGATTTAAAGGTGCAATCCAGTGGAGTCACAGCCTTATCATTTGCATCAACTTGGAGGAAGAAGGATGCTAACTTGTTAAGAACAAGCTCCTCTCCCCAGTTTTTCCCCCCCAAAAAGCAAAATTTAGGAGAGTCCACAGGTGAAGTGATGCTGCAAATGAAGTTGAAACCCTGGCTGATGGTGAGCTATTACTTCATGGAATGTAATCAACTCATCTCCATCCAATCTTCCTCCAGCTCAGTAGACAAGGCAGGCCAAGTCTCCAGTTACTCAGAGGTCTGTCTGAAGGAAAAGAAAGAAAATTATTTCCTCAAGCCCAGCATGAGTGGAGAGAGGAGAAGGAGAGGGAGGGAGGGATAAGGAGGGAGGAAGGGAGAGATTATTTTACATAAGCAGCCCTGAAACTACTGGTTTCAGCCTTTCTTCAGATAAATTGTTGCTTCTCTCATGCTATTTTGTGTCTACATGTTTATCCACATGCATCTGTCCCCATCAGTATTAAGCACGTTTCTATTTTGAATTCTGCATTAAAAGGGAATATGCCATTTTCAACTTCTAAGATGAGTTTTTGTTTTTTGCAGCTGAACAGGTACAGCAGTACACCTTGGAGCTTACCTTAATAAGTGCTGGAGACCCAGTTCTTGTGAAGAAATAACCCATTTGCAAAACAGTCAAAATCCACAGCCACACGGAGTCTGGAGCTTGTCAAATCCCGAAGAGGTAAAGGACAGAGGTATCAATGAAAAGTGCCAGAGAGATGTGCTCTTTGAAGATAATGATTTTTATATATTAAATATTCATACAAATGTATATTTGTCAGTCTGTGTGTATTTATACATTCACTCCAATCTCAAGTTAAAAACAAGTGACAAAAAAGTTAAGCTGGGATGAGAAGTGGTTGGTTTGAAAGAAGCAGAGCTGAGAAAAATGCTCACCGAAAGCTTCTCCAGAAAAAAAATAATAATAATAATAATAACCAAACCTTTAGAAAGAATCCTTAAAACAGAAGAGAGTTGCAAGAGGTGCCCGGTGGGACTTAGAAGCTCTTCAGAAAGCCCAGAAGCAGAAAGACAGAGGTGCCCCGCTGGGGTCCCAGGTAGCCACCCCACCTGCCGGCAAGGGCAGACGGGCCCCCATGTTCCCGGCCAGGTGGGAGCCGGTGGGAGCCGGCGGCCGCCGCAGCGCAGAGATGCCGGCCTGGGGCTCGGGGCTCCGGCTTCACTGGCGGCGGAGCTGGGTGGTTCCACAGTTCCCAGTGCAGTTCGGATGCTGTTGTTTCAGCAGTGCAGGCAAGAAACCATCCAGGGAAATGACTATTACATCATCTTAAAGGAATATGGCTTGGAGAAAGCGGAGGCAGCTCCGAGTCACGTCCTCCACGGTGACAGGTCGCCAGGACCGCACGGGGACGCCACCCTCGCGCCGGGCACCGACTCCGGGCGCGCGGGACTCGGGGCGGGGACGCAGCCGCGCTCGCAGCCACTTCCCGCCCTGTCCTGTCCCGGAGTTGGAGTTGGCCAGGACCTTTCCTTTGCCCTTCTAGTCCTGGCCTCCACCACCACCACCATTCCTCAGAAATAATCCCCACCCCCGTGGTGAGATAAACACAAATGATTTTTCATTTGAGAAATCCACAAACCGTTTGCACATGTATTGAATTTCTGTTGAAAGGCAGATTTCTCCTTCTAAAGCTTATTTCTAAAAAAGCACGCTGAATGACCCCAGTGTTGAAGCTACAAAGGAGCTTTAGTTTTTTTCAATCAAAAAGCATTAAACCATATTCTCTCCAATGCTCTCCTCTTCCAGCATCCTAGGCACTCTCCTCCCAGCAAATACATGCATAATAAATAAATATATTCTCTCTGGAATTAATGATGCACTTTCAAAATGATTACAGGATGCACTGGTACCTTCAGAAAGCCCACAGTTTATATTGCTAAGTCATTACCTGTAAGAAATTTTTACCTGTCACCTATTTCTGGGGCCGGTTCCTTACTGAGCATCTCTTTGGATATGGCCCCCCAACCCCTCCCAACTCATCCCAAGAGGACTTTGGTGGAAGACACGCCTGCTAAGAGACGTTTTTACTCCTGTCTCAAAGGGCTCCCTTAAGTGCATCATTAGAGCTTCAGGAAGGCATTTCCAGGGCAACCTAATCCACTAACAAAGTGCTTCCAGTTGAATCTGCCAGTCAATAATGGCCCAGCCAATGCTTACAGTAAGTGGGTCATTTCCCTTTAAAAATGCCAGTGTCTTAGGACACATTCTTAGTGAGAATATGGTAGTCTGTCTATGAATAATGTATGTGAGGCACACTCCATCCCAAACAATTGCTATTAAAAAAAAAGAAAAAGAAAACCTAAAGGGAAGATGAAAGCATGAATTAGATACATTTTATAGAATACATGTGTTTATTACTAACTCTTACCCCAACAATTAGCTTAAAGAAGGACTCAGCCATAGGATCAATTAATTTCTAATTTAACCCATTTTTTTTCTTTCAGTGAATATCTGGTTATTGAACACGTTCAGAGTATTAGCTAACTATTCAACACCTGATTATATTTGACATTATTATTATTATTATTATTATTAACTAATGTATTAACCTGCTCTGGCCTCAATCTCTGGGATTCTAATGGCAGTACCAAGCAAGTTAATTTGTTATTTGATGCACTTATATCGCCATCTAGTGTAGCAGTGCAGCATTATCTGGCAATTTAACTGCATAAAAAAAGTTAGATTTTTTTTCTTTAAAGTTTTTATTGTGACTCAAGTATTACCTAACATGCACTGTTCACCATAATGACAAAATAAACATTTAGTTCCATCAAGTCAAGGGAAAAAATAATTTTGAATCTATCCCTTTAAATGGTAGGGTTGGTTGTAGTTGAAAGTATATAAACATTTTATTTCTAACAGAGTAGGCATGGCAATAGCTTTGGGCATTGGATATTAAATATTTCAGGGACAGTTTGACAGGAAGTGGAGATCAGAAAAAAGGAAAAAATAATCTTTCAAAGCTAAAAATAACTTGAGAAATAGGAATCAACCATCTCAAAAATTCAGAAACTGAGGACCAGAGAGGAAAACCACTTCTAAAAAGTCACACAGCTATAGAGTAGCAGAGGAGGGCTTAGACCACTGCCTACTCAATCTGATCAACGCCCTATTTTTAACCTGAAATATTGTAGAATATGGATGAAAAAGAAGCAAATGAAGAAAATAAGCATTTCAAGATTAAAACACATTTGGGAAAAAACAGCCAGTTTTAGAGAGTATACAGTATTAAATTTAATTTCAAGACTAAAAGATGTTACAACAAAGGAAGAGAATTCTATGTTTCAATAATGAAAGCTTTATTCATTGGTCTGAGTTTTATAGTCTGGACCATTTTTGAGGCATTGTTCTTAACTTTTTTTTTTTTTTTTTGGAAAATGTACTACTTGGAGAATCTAGTAAAACCCAGGAAACAAATACAGGATTAAAGTTTGCATACAATCCTCTTCTGTTTTGAGATTGCATATACACTTACAAAGACACACTTGAAGTCTGAAAAAACAAAACATACCAGCCAGCCCTCATTGTCCTCACTGTGTGACCCATGGTTGGAGCACAGCTCCTGAAATGCAGTATGTATCATTATTTAATAATCAATGTGACTATCCTATCTGTATAGTTGTATTTCAGTACATTGTTTTATGCTAGAAGTGTTCATTTATTATAGTAAACAATTAAAAATAAACTACTGTTTTACTTTATTATAATTAGTCTTTTTCCTAGTCCCTTATTTAGGTTTTCTAAATTCCTGCTATGAGTGAGACCATCCGGTATAGAGATGAAAATGCATACATTGTGCAAAAATGAAAAATGATGTAAAAAATATACAAAATAAAATGTTTTAAAGGAAAATAAATAAACAAAAATAAAAAATAAACTACTGTTGTGCTAGCTTCTATGGGTACTTTTTAACCTACCTACAACCATAAGAAATTGTGAGAATCCAGACCTCTCATTTTTTGAGACATCAGGACTTCTTTAAGATTGGCCCAAAGCCTATTCATGCTGGGATCTGCAGACCCCAGGTTAACATCATCTGACCTGTACTGCTTTTTGTTCCTTTAGTCTGAAGGGTGCAAACAAATGAGGAGTGAGATTAAAGAGACAATATACTTGAAGGAAACAAAGCAATATATCTCATGGAAAGATTTAAATAGTGCCAAAGTAAGCCCATGAGTCCCAGGGAGGTTGTCAGTAAGCCTGACTGTTTGGTGCCTTAACGGAGGCAAGAAGCCAAATCTAGGTTGTAAGAGTATTCCTGTCCTTCCTGTCAGCAGATAACACTGCTAGTGGTATTAATCTCTCCTGGCAGCTCTCTACTGAAATATTGTGGGATGCCACACTCGGCCCGAAGGTTGAACACACAGCAATAGATTTGTCATAAGGGAAGTGAAAGGAAGAATGTTCCATCCTGTTCTTGGTAATAGTCAAGCCTATAGCACATCACACCATGGGTAAGTTGTGGAATTGATAAAATGTGTCTTAGCCTCTGTTTCCTGTTCCCCACTTTCACACACTCCCATAGCTGAACATGGAAGAGTATATTCTCAAAAGGACAATTTTAATTTTGGAATAATGTGATCACCTCCCACATCCTCACACCCTAACACATCTTTAAGTTCCCTATCCCCTTGAGCAGAGAGCTTTTCTGCTGACTGTATTTGTTATCAGGGAGGGAACTGATCTCATAAACTTACTCATACTAAGATGCTGTGCACTCATTGCGTTGCATGCCCCAAGGATGCTTCTGTTATCACCACCATCACTGTAATAGCTACTGCTTATGGGGCCCAGCCATCAAGTCCTCACAACAATCATTATCCCTCTTCCAGCTCTGCCTGTCTGGCTGTGTGACAACAAAAATGAGATTCAATGTCTCTGGGCCAGAATTAAAGGGAGATAAGAGACCTATCTCCCAGGTGTGTTGTGCAGATGAAATGCTATGATACCTGGAAGACCTGGAGCACATTCCCTGCCTCTAGGTGAGTGCTTTGTAAATGCCATTAGTATCTGTGATAGTGTTAGAAGTAGCTCTGTTTGCTGTTACCTCCATGTTGAGGTATAAAAAAGTTATGAAAGATGCCAAAATATTTCTATTGTACTTTGAAAATCTTTGCTTTTTCCACTATGCAGTTTCAAGTAAAAATCATTGTTTGTTATAAATGTTTATTTTAATGGCAGGATTTCAGGCTTTGGTGGGGGAGAAGGGGTGACAGAATAGAAAACTATAGAATAACCACAATCACACTGATTATTGTGAAAATACCATATTTGACCAAACAAGACCTTTATATTCATTGCATATGTTACTTAAGATACAAAACTGAATTCATTGCAATCTTTGAACTCAAACACACACAATCATAACAATAGGAAGTAAAGTTGAAAAAGTTCTAGACTTTTGAACAATCTTATTTGCAGAAATATGCCTGCTGCTGTGTACAGCTTTTGGTTCTATATAATTCACATTTGATTTGGACAAATCACATAACCTAAGGTAGCCTCTGCTTCTGTTTCTGTAAAGTTTGTATCTCCCCTTACACAGATATGGTGACTGATGACAAAGATAAAATACAGCTGCCAAATCCTCAGAAACATATTAGGAAGTAATTTGCTATGTAAGAAACAAGGAAGGCAAAAAAGAATGTTCTATCTTACTGATTAACACAAAACCATGCAAGAAGGAATTTGAATTAGACATGTATAATGTTAAAGTTGGAAAAGGAAACCATTCAGGTCATCCACTCCAGCCTTAGGTCCAGCTAAAACTCTGAGGGAATAACAAACTTTCAGTGTAGTCATTTCTCTCATTGTCTCTCTAAAATACTCTTGAACTCTACTCTCATAAAATACAAATGATAGCTAAAGCTGTTCATGTCACCATGCTGCCTCTGAAACACAGTGTACACAAAAAGTTCTACCAAGTCAACTCTCATTTTGAGGCCTGAGCTTTTCTGTTGATCTGAAAAGAAGGTGCAGCTTTTTTTTTTTTTTTTTTTTTGTGGGACCCTCACCGGTGGCCAGGGATTGAACTGGAGCTTCAGAGGCTGCAGGCAGCCTCGCAAACCAGCTCTCAACCACCACGCCACCAAGGGAGGCCCGAACGTGCAGCTGTTTAGGTATGAAGATGATATTATTGACTGCATTACAATTTTTTATGTGTGGGAGGTATTTATGCAGCAGGGATGGCTGTATGGTCCCCTTTTCAGTTTCTCTTCAAAACGAGGACACTTTTCTGGAACAAATGATCAAAGTTATGAGTGTACAATTTAGCCATGAAGTGAAGTAAACCAGCTTGGGCATATATGCTTAGAAACTGATCTCATCAGTATAAAACCTAACCAACAG